TTGACTAATCATTTATATTAGAATGGGTGAAGGGTCGAATGATTTGGTAGTTCCTCATGAGGGACGAGTCAAGAGAATGTTGAATAAGAGGTCTTGATTTTTGTTCATCTTTCGTCTAATAAATACACAAGTTGTGGCCAATAAGGTGGGTATCATCAAAATACCAAATCATCAACTGTGAAGACGGTTTTCGATTCTAGTATCCAGTTATAGAAGCGACCCCAGAGGCTATCACTTTTGCTTCTCTCTAAAATTGCAGTCTATTTTTCTTGTTGCTAGTTATATGTATCGAACGAATTTTGGGATTGGACAGTATCAACTACGACTACAAGAAGCTAATTCTTATTCCCTACAGATACGGGATCAGCCACATGATTCAGAAATAGTCTCTAATTATATCTCAAGCATCAATAATCTTCTTCTAAGAAATTGATACTGCTCCGTCTGCATCGCAACTTTATTTATCAACTCAGTACAACTGATCTAAATATACTTGGTCTCAGACAAGGATACTTGAAAGTTAGCATGCTAATTTTTCGTCTGCTATTTCTTAAAATTATAAGCATTGGGTGGGAACCGTATATTAAAAATGGTTAAATTGACAAAAAAAGTAAGGGAAATGGATTAAAGAGAAGGCAAAAGAAAGGTAAAGAGAAAAGGTAGAAATAGACTAATTTGTCTGGATTTAGAAAATAGGGTAACAGAAGTAAAAATCATGATTGAATATAGTTAGACTAATATTAGGAAAAGAGTTGATTAGCGTTCTTCACATGAATGCTCAACATCTAGGAATAGAGCGAATTTGAGAACACACGGATGGGTTCATTTAGACAACACATATTCAACATCAAATTTTTGTCAGGCAATATGTAATGGTCATTCATAGAAACATGAATAAAAATGTGAAATAGCAAGTGGAGAATTTCAGATTGAAGTCAATAACGAAACGAGATTTTGGACTTTGAGCTAACCTATGCTTTGATGCTGATGGGGGTAGTACTACTTAACTAATGCTAATCAGTCAAAAAAGATATACATGAGTGGAAGATAAAGAGGCATACTTTGTACCGAGGTGGCAAGCAGCGCATAAGTTTCACACGCAAGCATAATCCAATCACTGTTGCCATGCTACAATGTTCAACTGTTGGAGTAAATGTGACCCTGAAGCAATTACCTTTAATGAATAAAATGACTTGCATAGCCAAATTCATGTAAAAACACACCAAAAAGATCTATGTACCTCACATGACTTTTCGTGTCATCCACTTCAATTGCATCTTCTGTTATGACCTTCAACTCTTCCAAAGAATAAGGGTGCTCTGGGTCTTTTATGTCTCTAATATGATGTAATACTGTTAAGAAGTACAAAAATTTCTATGCACTGGGCTTCCCCCACATAATCTCACTTCAGAAAAAAATAATTTTTGGATTACAAGTCAATCTCCAGAAAAGAAAATGTATAAAAATGAATGAATAGAAAACAGACAAATGCTATAGATGAGAGATGTCTTACAGTCTTACTTTTAGAAAAATATACTATAATAGTTATTGACCAATAAGCAGAAAATGTGATCTGTGGTTCAGACTATATGCAATTAACGGATTTCAACTGTTACTGCTACTGAACAAAAATACCAAAGCTTACTCCAGCATAATAGAAAATTCAATTTATGAAGCAAATAGAAACATAACAAATTCATACGAATGATTAGTTTTGTTTGCGAAATTTAGTGGAACAGTAAATGATTCTAAGGCCTTTTTAAGTATTAATATCTTCAAATAATATTCAACCGAGGCATAGCATAAATACAAAGATGTATTTAGCAATACAGATGCATTACTCAAAAGAGCTCATGTCCACTATGTAGTTCACGCGTGAACAAGAAAACAATCCATTATACTACAAAACACTTGAATTTGACACCTATAAAACGTCTCATGTATCAAACTTTGTAATCACAAGAAAACACAACAGCGGGGCAAACATACAGACAGACACAGAGAGCGAGAGATGCAAAAGTTACGGTTAAAGGATATCAAATATTTCTAGTTGGTCAATTGGTTCGGCTGCATATTCATCCACATCAACTGGCGCAGTTCGAGCTCGACGCTCCTTTTTTCCATAAACGATGGGATTGGCATTTATTAATCCAGAAACCATGGCGACTATTCAACCTCAACCACTGCATCATCAACAGTATTAGCTGAAATGACTAAATGTGGAAAATGACAATTGGAAGCTGCACTCAATGTGGCAATAAAATTTTGCTGATCAACCAATTCTACTGGCCGAGTTCC